AGCCGTTGGGGAGGCTGCACCAGGGGAGCTGCATCATGGGGGCGGGGGGAGGGCTGTGTCGTGGGGGTGACCCTGCTTCTCAGTCTGAATCATCGCTCTGAAAATGAGAGGCGTCTGGGCTTAAGTAAATCCTGTGCCGAGTGCTGTGGGGGGCTGCCCGGTGCCGGGCGGGCAGGGCCGGTGCCCGCGGGGCCACACGTGCCGGAGGCAGCCGAGGGCTGCAGAGCTCCATTCTTGCACTTTCCTGGTGGGGAGTCTGCGCGCCCCGAGCAGGCACCCTGGTTCCTGTTCTTGACAAGCAATATGCTGTTTGGCTATTTTTAACAACGTGGCACAAACGTCACATGTCTGATTCTTCTGAGATTGAGCATTTACATTCGGGGACTGCAAACCAGCTGCTCTTTTCTTCCTACAAACCCCACTGCCCTCGGGAGAGATTCTCCTCCTGGGGACTGAGGGCTCGCCCTGGAGCGGAGCCGTGTCCGGAGGGGGCGGGGCTGGGCCCAGGCCGCCCTGTCACCTCTGCTCCTGTCTCCCTGAGGAGGCCCGGGACCCTCGGCCCAGCTCAGTGCCCGCGCGTTCCCCGCGTGCCAGCATGTCGGGCCTTCCCGCACATTCACCCTCCAAACCCCCTTACCTCGTGCAGCGGTGTAATCGTCCCACTTTACGACGACAAACTGAGTCAAAGCTGCAGAGCTGTGGGGCAGGCCAGGCAACCCAGCCCGTCCCTGCCTTCGGCCCTGGTCGGCCGTGTGGACCCGCGTCTGTCGTGGGCTGTTTTCCCTCCACAGACAGTGGGCTTCCTGCTCCTGAGACACAGTGACTCCCGGCACCTGCCCCCCAGGAGCCGCTGCTCCCTGGAGAGGGGCCTGCAAGCCTGTCCCTCTCCCCGTGGGGCCTGCCCTTCTCTCACGGGGTCCTCACAGCGTCCTCAGCACCGGGCGGACCCTACGCCGAATGAGGCGCAGAGCAGGCGCAGGGGCGGCGGCGCCTCTCCCGGGAAAGCGTCCTGGAGACACGTCGTGCCGAGGCCGGAAATGAGTGCTCTCCCTCCGCACTCGGGGGAATGTACTGGGGGGGAGGGTGCTTTACTTCACGCACATTGGCTTTCTCCCTCCTGCAGGGCAGGCATTGGGGCCTGGGCAGTTGCCCAGTGGTTAGAACATCAGCCTGCACACCGAGGGGGCTCAGGCTCGATCCCGACCCCGGTCCGGGTGCAGGCGGGAGGCAATAGTCGATGCGTATCCCTCACAGCGATGCTTCTCTGCCTGTCTCTGTCTCTCTCTCAATATCAACGGGAAAAAACATCCTTGGGTCGGCAGTGGTCAGCCTCCTGGTGGGAGTGACCCATGACCTTGGATGACCTGTGACCTCAGTGTCGGGAGAGGCGCCCAGGTCGGCCAAGGACCCAGCCCGAGTACGGGCGGGTCTGCGGGGGACAGCTCGGGTCTGCGGGGGACAGAGGACAGCCCAGCAGAGCCATTGAAGGGACGCGGGCACTGGCTGAGCCCACGTGTGGGTCTGTCTGTCACCAAAAGCTTCCTTTTATTGAACCCCCTTCTCCTCCCGCAGTCACACCTCACGGTGGCCGTCCCCGCCTGACCCCGCGAAGGCAGCGACTTTCCTGTAAACGCGAGGGCCTCCGCGGGGCTTTCCTGAGCTGAGCGGCGCTGTCTCAGCTCCCACACGCCCCTTTCTGTGAAGGGAGTCGGTCTGGATCGCAAACGTCGTCTAAGATTCGTTTAGACAAGGGCCTGAGGCCTGCACTCCTGTGCAGCCGAGGGCGTGACAGCCAGGCCACGCCAGGGCCGCCGAGCGGGAGCGCGGGAGCCCCAGGAAGCATCGCGGGCGCTGACCGCCAGCCCCTCGGGCAGCCTGTAGCCTGTGGTTTCCTTTCTGTGTCTCCGGAGCCTTAACCCGGGACTTTGTGTTGGTTTTGCCCCTTTGGTTGCTGCCAGGATTATAAATTGGGAAAATGTGAAACGGAGCCGGCCTGTCTCCACGTTTCCTCGGCCTGTGGTTTTGCGGTTGATTCCGCAGCTGCCAGTCACCTTTGTCTCCAGTGGGACGTTCTCCACGGGTGGCCCGGCCCTGCGTTCCAGGCTCACTGAGCAGAGCGTCACACAGAGCAGGCACCTTGGCGACGGCAGCTCTCACCGCTGTGTTTCCTTGGCAGGGAGCTGGGCAGGGCGATGCAGCTGTGCCGAGGCGGGAGCAGTGCCGTGAGCCTCACATCACCTCAGGGTGTTGGCGCCCAGCACACGCATTCGGTGGTTGCCAGGGGTCAGAGGGTCACGCCTCCATTTGTCACCCTGTGGACTGCGATTGCCTTTCAGGGACAGACGGCACCCTTAGGCTGGCTGTGGCCCTCACTGGCCCCATCAGGGGGTGGGCCTAGCTTGAGCTGTCCAGTCCGCTCACAGCAGTCGCGGAGGCGCGGCTGCAGAAGGCAATCTCTTCACAGAACCCGGCCCAGGGAGTGCGGAGTCCGCGCTCCGCCTTCTCGGCTGGGCAGACAAGGCCAGTCTATGTTGTTCTCTGTTTTAAAGACAAGTTAGCTTTTCCTTAGTGTTCATGTCCAAGGAACAGTACAGAGGAAACATGGAAATTCTGTTATCAATCCACAAGCTATAAGCAACCAGAGGACTTACCTCTCTCAGCGATGCTCACAATGATCCCGGAAGACAACGCGAGCCACGCGGGACACCTGAAGGCAGAGGGGTGGCTGCTTCCCGCTGCACCCCTGGGACACCTGAGGTGCCGGTGACTGTCGGGGAGGGCCGTGCGGCAGAGAGGAGGGGGCGCGGCTGTGTCCCAGAGGTGTGCCTGCCGCGTGGAGGGACTCTGTGTGCTGCGGGCCGGATGGAAGAGCCGGGGAGATCCCCATCCCATAATAATGCGGCGTTCAAAGTCACAGGCTCCGAGTCCCCCCATTTGTCACAGACAGACAGCTGTGGCCTCTGTGTCGGCACCAGGTGGCAAGCCCTGGGCCCCGGCCAGGTGTGCAGCCGGCCTCCAGCACTGTTACTCTGAAGCCAACACAGGGAGTGGTTGCCGCCACCTCTCCTGTGCCTGTACCATGCTCATGCCACTGCCCATGACAAGGATGAGTGTGTTGTCCCTTCCCATGTCCCAGATTAGGGCGACAAGGCAGCAGAAGCCCTGGCACAGGGGTGGAAAAGGGCATGGCCGCCTGCTGTCGTCCCACCTCGGGTGCTCAGAGCCCGGCCTGGAGGAGGCACCTTGTTCTCAAGAAGTCCCAGGAAGCTCAGCCCTGAGCCCCCAGCCTGGGCAGCAGCTGGGCTGCACACAGGTGCAAATCACAGGCCTTGGACACGGAAAGCTGTCCTGCGGGGACCACGCTGTCCCTGGACACGGAAAGCCCATCATACAGGTGACCACACTGTCCCTGGACACGGAAAGCCCATCATACAGGTGACCACACTGTCCCTGGACACGGAAAGCCCATCATGCAGGTGACCACGCTGTCCCTGGACACGGAAAGCCCATCATGCAGGTGACCACGCTGTCCCTAGACACGGAAAGCCCATCATGCGGGTGACCACGCTGTCCCTGGACATGGAAAGCCCATGATGCGGGTGACCACACTGTCCCTGGACACGGAAAGCCCATGATGCGGGTGACCACGCTGTCCCTGGACACGGAAAGCCCATCATACAGGTAACCACACTGTCCCTGGACACGGAAAGCCCATCATGCAGGTGACCACACTGTCCCTGGACACGGAAAGCCCATCATGCAAGTGACCACGCTATCCCTGGACACGGAAAGCTCATCATGCAGGTGACCATGCTGTCCCTGGACACGGAAAGCCCATCATGCAGGTGACCACGCTGTCCCTAGACATGGAAAGCCCATCTGCAGGTGACCACGCTGTCCCTGGACACGGAAAGCCCATCATGCAAGTGACCACGCTATCCCTGGACACGGAAAGCCCATCAAGCAGGTGACCACGCTGTCCCTGGACACAGAAAGCCCATCTGCAGGTGACCACGCTGTCCCTGGACACGGAAAGCCCATCTGCAGGTGACCACGCTGTCCCTGGACACGGAAAGCCCATCTGCAGGTGACCACGCTATCCCTGGACAAGGAAAGCCTGCAACCCAGGCTTGTGCCACATCCGGGGGCACGTAACCTTTTCTTGACAGAGTTTAACTTTGCCAGCCCCAGTCACGTGATGCCTTCCCGGCAGAACAGGGAGTTCACGGCACGGTGTTAGAATGCTTCCAAAGGCCCTGTTGTATGGAGACGTGCTGGGCACTCGGCTAGTGACCCGCGAATCTGAGCACTATAGGCCGGTGCTGTGTGGGCCACCTCGTCCCCGCCACGTCCTCTCCGCCACGACGTGTTAGGGTGTCACCTGTGGACAAGACACGGAGTGAGCTGACTGGCGCCTCTCAGGCCCCACCCTGAGATTGCCCCTTAAACAATGGACGCAAACTTTCCCGTCAGCCATGCACTTTCCTTCCTGCGCGCCTTTACTCACTCTCTCCTGTGTGGGCTTTTATCCGTTTGGTGGTGTTTGGGGGGAAAGGGAAGACCCGAAAAGAATTGTGTGTTTTTCCTGAACCCCTGACTCGGACCATTTTCCATATCTCGTCCCACAATGCAAATCCCCACCCCCGCCCCGGGCCACGTCCCAACAGCAAAGGAAAGGCATCTGCACGAAGCGTGGTTGTGAGGCGAGTAGGGGTGACCACAGCGCTGGCTGGGGCCCTTTTTCTGTGCGTGCAGTGTGTGAGTATCTGGGTGTGTGTGTATCGCTATGGATTGTGCATTGTGTATGTGTATATATCTCTGTGTGTATGAATCTGTGTGTGCGTGTAGGTATGTGAGTATCTGGGGTGTGTATCTGTTTGGTCTGTGCAGCGTGTGTGTGTGTGTGTGTGTGTGTGTGGTCTGTGCTGTGTGTGTCTGTGTGTGTGTGTGTGTGGTCTGTCCAGGTGGCACTGACGCCCGTGTCTCCCACTGTCTCCCAGGAGCTCTGCCGCCAGCGCATGGCCGTGCGCACCTCTGACCGCCCGGAGGCCCCACACGTGTCACGCATCAACAGCGTGTCCTCGCAGTTCAGCGACGGGCCAATGCCCAGCCCTTCCGCGCGGAGCAGCACCTCGTCCTGGTCGGAGGAGCCGGCGCTGCCCAACATGGACATCTCGACCGGCCACATGGTCCTGGTAAGGCCCAAACCCGCTCCGCGACCCTGCCCACCCCGCCTGCGCGTCCTGTCGTGTCATGATGGTGGCTCGGGGAGACCCTAGCTGGCTGCGCAGCCGACGAGCAGGTTGTGGCCCCGCATCGGGCTCCTCTGCTGGGGCCTCTGAGTGAGTGGCCAGTGTGACTCCGTGCCCTGCTCCTGCCCTGAGTGCCAGCCCCACGTGCGGACCCGAAAGGTTCTGCAGGTTACCGGGTGGGAAGGGCGTGCATTAGCGCCTACTGTGCGCTGCTTTCTTAACCTCCAACTAACAGGCAGCACTTGCCCCTCCCCCAGGCTGCCCAGCATCCTCAGGGTAAGTGAATGTCGCTTGCATGCTGCTCATGCCGCACAGGGACACTGGCGGAGGGGAGGGCTCAGGGTTCAGCCTGGCAGGAGGCCCGTGGGCCGGGCCGTCTCCGTGAGGACCCGCCATCGGCCTCTGCAGGGTGGCCTGCTCCCTGCCCGCCCGCCCAGCGTGCCATCCTCAGCGGGACACACGTGCGTGGCCGTGTGCTGCCGCTGGCACGTGATTAACCCAGTCTTACTAGGAGAGACGTTCAGAGCTCGGCCCCCTTCGCTGCCATCTCCATCGGGCACCGGGTCGGCTCGCTGCCAGGTCGCAGCCAGGCTCCTTCCTGTCTGGTGCGTGTTCGGTCATTGCCCTGACCCGGTCTTGGTGATGGTTAAGCGCTTCCCTCTGTGGGGACGCCCCGACTTGTTTACTTAACGCCAATGGAGACGGAGGACCACAGACAGCAGGTCCCAGTGTGTCCGCGGCTGTGACAGCACCACAGGCTCCCGAGGCTGGAGTCGGGTGGAAGACCTCCCACTCTGTCCGCCATGGTAGAGGGGAGAGGGCCCTCTGGGGTCCCTTTCACTAGTACAAGGGCACCATTCTGGTCACGGGGCCACTTGGTGACCTCATCGCCCCTCAGTCCTCACCGTCAGCCGCCATCTCGTGGGGGGTAGGTTTCAACATATGAATTTGGGGGACACAGGAAATCGCATTTTCACTAAAAAGTCTGACTGCAGAGCCTGGAGGTGGGGCCTGGAGAGGCCCTAAGGCCCCGACAGGCTGTGGTGTCACCAGTGTGTCCATTTTGGGGTGCACCGGGGGACATCTGTCTTGGGTGCCCGAGTCTGCGAGCAGGAGCCCAGGATGCCGGGCCGTTCGGACCAGATGTGGGGACGGATGCACCATGCGGCTGGGGGGTAGCCTGCAATGAGGCCAAGACCAGCAGCCCATTGTCCGGCCGCTGAGCTGGACACACACATCTTTGCTCTGCCCCAGGGGTGGAGGACGGTCCACTGCGCCCTCCCCACTGCTGGGGCTCCAGGGATGGAGGACACCCTGGACAGGGCCACCTGCCTTTACATATTTCCTCACAGACGTATGTGGCCGGATAGTGAATCTACTAAATTGTTTTCAACAATATTTGTCCCTTTTAGAGAAAGAAACTCAACCACAGGTCAGGTTTTCAGTCGCTACAGCCGTGTGCCTCCGCCACGCTGGCTGGAGGGTGTTGAGGCTCCTGGTGTCCACATCGTGTCCGATTTCAGCCGTGCTTACAGCCGAGGAGGTCTCAGGCCCAACGGGACATGGAAGCACTGCGCTTCCCACGGAGAACTGTGGCGTGGCATCACGGTGAGCGCACGCATGGCAGTTAGTTCTCCAGGGAAATGCACACGCCGCACACACTGACCTAGCCTTCATGTGGCTGTGGCATTGCCACGCCTAATGGGAGGTGTCCCTGCAGAAGGTCACCGACTCCGAGCCCTGATGCAGTGAGAGGCCGAGTGCACCTCCACCCCGGCCCCCCGTCACCACGCGGACGTGCAGCGCGGACTCAAGGCCTGTCTCCTGAGCCAGCACTGTCTCGGGGGTCCTGCGGGCCTGGGCAGGAGCCTGGCGATGGAGCGGGAGTGTGCGCACCGTGGATGCGCCACATGGGCCTGCAAGGGGGCCGGGCCTTCCTTGAAGGCCTGTCCTCACTCAGGGTCCTGGCCGTCTGCCCTTCTGCTCACTTTGCCGGCCGGTTCAGGCGCTCTCCCCACCCCACAGCTGTCCTCACACCAGGCCTGTCCCTTGCCTGGAGTGGAGAGGCCTGGAGATGCCACACACCTGAGCCCCACGAAGCATGTTTGCAAAACACCTCACCCTCTGCATGCAGGTGGCAGGGCTCAGCGCTCAGCTCTGGACTCACAGGCCGTTTGCAGGGCTGAGGCCGCAGCACGTGGTGAGTGGACCAGAGCTGTGTTCAAAGGGCATGTGAGGAAAAACCAAGATGGCAGCATAGGTAAACACTGGAGATTGCTGCCTCGCACAACCACTTCAAAAATACAACTAAAAGACAGAACGGACATCGCCCAGAACCACAGGAAGGCTGGCTGAGGGGAAATTCTACAACTAGAAGGAAAGAGAAAAGCACACTGAGACTCAGAGGAGGCACAGTGCGGAAAATACAAAGGTGCGGAGGTGCGCGTGGAGTGGGCTGGTGGCTGAGGGCGCGGTTGTCTGTTTCAATCGGGAGGGAGTCTCAGGCTCTGAGCTCCAGTTCTGGGCGAGTCTCCGGGGACCCAGACTCAAACGGGAGAAGAGGGACTGTCTGGCATCAGTCGGAACTCAAAGGCAGCTTTCTCTCCGAGGTTTGCAGCGGTTGCTGGGACTCTGAGAGCCTCTGGGGATGGGACTTAGAGCAGACATAACTGCTCGATCCATCCGCCCTGGTGATCCCCTGGGACCCGCCCTGCCCAAGCCTTGCAGGGAGGCATTTGCTGGTTAGCCTCAGGCAGAGGCTAGATTAGCGCCGCCCTAGAGATCCAGCACAGAAGTTCTCCCACTGCAGACACAGCTGATTCTCATAGCCAGTTGGCCTGGAGGTCAAATTCCCCCTAGTATTACCTACAACAATCAAGGCTTAACTACAACAAAACTGTGCACAAAGACCACAAGGGGATGCACCAAGAAAGCATAGAAAACACGGAGACAAAGGAACAGGACAGAAATGGAGGATATAGAGTTCAAAACCACACTTTTAAGGTCTCTCAAGAACTGTCTAGAAGCCGCCGATAAATTTAGTAAAGCCCTTGAAAAGACTGGTGAGACCGCCGATAAATGTAGTGAGATCTTCAAGAAATCTAATGAGACCCTCGATGTTGTGATAAAGAACCAACTAGAAATTAAGCATACACTGACTGAAATAAAGAATATTATACAGACTCCCAACAGCAGACCAGAGGAGTGCAAGAATCAAGTCAAAGATTTGAAATGCGAAGAAGCAAAAAACACCCAACCAGAAAAGCAAAATGAAAAAAGAATCCGAAAATATGAAGATAGTGCAAGGAGCCTCTGGGAGCCTCTGGGACAGCTTCAAGTGTAAATGACAGAAAACTGCCCCTATCTGGTGAAAGAAATAGACTTACAGGCTCAGGAAGCGCAGAGAACCCCAAACAAAAGGAATCCAAAGAGGACCACACCAAGACACATCATAATTAAAATGCCAAGAGCAAAAGACAAAGAGAGAATCTTAAAAGCAGCAAGAGAAAGACAGTCAGTTACCTACAAGGGAGTACCCATACGACTGTCGGCGGATTTCTCAACAGAAACTTTGCAGGCCAGAAGGGAGTGGCAAGAAATATTCGAAGTGATGAATGCCAAGAACCTACAACCAAGATTACTTTATCCAGCAAAGCTATCATTCAGAATTGAAGGTCAGATAAAGACCTTCACAGATAAGGAAAAGCTAAAGGAGTTCATCACCACCAAACCAGTATTATATGAAATGCTGAAAGGTATCCTTTAAGAAGAGGAAGAAGAAGAAAAAGGTAAAGATACAAATTATGAACAACAAATACGCATCTATCAACAAGTGAATCTAAGAATCAAGTGAATGAATAATCTGATGAACAGAATGAACTGGTGATTATAATAGAATCAGGGGCATAGAAAGGGAATGGACTGACTATTCTTGGGGGTAAAGGGGTGTGGGGGATGCGGGAAGAGACTGGACAAAAATCATGCACCTATGGATGAGGACAGTGAGTGGGGAGTGAGGGCGGAGGGTGGGGTGGGAACTGGGAGGAGGGGAGTTATAGGGGGAAAAAGAGGAACAAATGTAATAATCTGAACAATAAAGATTTAATTTAAAAAGAAAAAAGGGCACGTGAACTCCAACGGCCTCAGGCGCCGAAGCTCCAGGACGGTGACCACTGTGACCAGAAGCCGCAGTCGGCCAGCGCGCACTCCCTGAGCCGCCCCGAGGACTCGGAGGCCCCGATAAGCCTTGCCAGGCCCGCGCCATGCGGGCACGGTGCAGGGGCGCGTCCTACCTGGAAGGTTCAAGGGGACCCACAGCCAGTGGGAGTGAAGCAGACCCACAGCAGAGGGAGGAGTGGCCAAGGCATCAGAAAATGTAACCGGCACAGCGACCTTCCCGAGGGCAACACGGGAACGTTTCCTGTCGCAAAGCACAGAGTCATCATTACAGGAAGAAGTGGCGGAGGACAAGCCCATCACCCTGCAGCCCGGGGGCTGGTCCGGGAGCAGCCTTCGCCCTGTCCTGGTCACTGTGTCCACAGTAGCGACATGCATGTGCTGTGACCTCATGCCAGGAAGCCATGGAAACAATCTCAGCGAGGAGACGGCGGCCGGCGAGCCTGTGCCCGGAGGGAGAGGAGTCTGCCGGGTGACAGAGGACGCAGGACGCAGGCCCCACACAGGTGACGGGACCACTGATGAGATCAGTGACCCAGGCGATCCAGGTGGTCTTCGGGGCACCAGGTAACCAGGGCTCAGGGCGAGAGGCCGGCCAGCACTCAACTAGGGAGGGAGGGTTCCCGGGCAGCTGTGGAGAGGACGTGCGGACAAGCGGGCTGCCCTCGAGAGCCCAGCACATGGCGTGGACAGCACAGACTTGAATCCAATGAGCTTGGCTCAAAACTGGGACCTTCTGCATCCCGGACGCACCTCAACCTGCATCT